CAGGCTGCACAATGCCCGTTGTGTGGTGTATCCCTCTGCATTCATGTTCATCTGTCCTTGCTGTGCTAGCTCATGACTGTTTCTATCCCCGCAGGGAGAAGCAGTGCTTGGAGGTGCCTGCAGAGATGGAGCCTGGTGGACCTGGTTAGTGTCTGTGTTGAGGGGAGGGGGTCAGAAGTGGTTGCATAGGACATCCTGACACTGAAGTAATTGGAGGCAGCCTGCTTGTGTGGGGTGGGAAGGTAGTGTGTCAGGTGGGTGGGGGGCTGCCTTGTGTTATATGAGTGAGTGTGTGTGTGTGTGTGGGGGGGGGGGGGGTTCATGTCTTTGTCTGGGTTGTTGCTTCTGCTGTCCCCTCTGTACCCTCCTGGCTGGCACCGCTGGCCGGCATCAGCATCTTGAATGTCTTTCTGCAGCGCTTCGCAGCTGACATCATCTCTGTGCTGGCCATGACCATGAGTGGAGAGCGGGAGTGCCTGAAGTACCGCCTGGTGGGGTCCCAGGAAGAGCTGGCCTCCTGGGGGCATGAATACGTCAGGTAATGTGTGGGGCTTAGTCTGTCACCCAGGGCCTGTCTAAGGCAGCCTCCAGCTCTGCTTTGTGCTTGGTTCAGTCCTGAGGAAGGATTCCTTGTGATGGCCTCTCGCCCTTCCCTTGTGCCTCTCTTCCATGGTTGACTTGTCCAGCCTCCAGAGGTGATGCACAGGTGTCCTTGAGGCATAAGTAACAAGAACAACATAAGCAGTGCTATGCTGGATCAGATCTATGGTCCATCCAGCCCCTTAACCTGTCTCCGGCAGTGGCAAGAATGAATGCTTTAGAAGGAGGGCACGTGAACAGTATATCTTGAGCAGTGGTTCTCAACCAGGGTGCCACAGCAGCCTGATGTACCTTGAGATCGTTTTGGGGTTGCCATGCAATGTTAGCACTTAGATATGCAAACATGACTTGTGAGCTCAAACCCAGAGATGTCACACAGAAATCTGCAGTGTTAAAGTTATTCTGCCCTGTTGTGGGCTTCCAGAGTTCTTTGCAATGGAAGATATTTACTCTAGCATTTTTGCATAGTCAAAAAAAAAAGGGTGAAAACTAAGTACTAGCATTTTTCAAGGGGGGGCTGGAATCTTAAAAGGTTGAAAACCACTAATCTAGAGTATTTTCTTCCCTGTCATAACTCTCCCTGGCATCCACCGTCTTTGGTTTAGAGATGCTAGAGGAAGCATCTGTAGCTCTGTTTTGGGTAGTTATTACTAGATATATTGTCTAAGAATCTTTTTAGTCCCTTTTTGAATCTGACTATACCATATGCCTTTATCACCTCTTCTGGCAATGAGTTCCACAAGTTAATTACATTCTACATAAAAAAGTCCTGTCTGTTGTTAGTTTTAAATCTGTCTCCTGCTCTTTGTTGTGGGCACTGCCACCCCATGCTAATATTCTGGGTTTTGGTGAATGACAGTTCCCTGTTCCCTTTGTCCTGACCCTTCGTGATTTTACAGACCCCTATTGTATCCCTCTCAGTTGTCGTTTTTCCAAACTGAAAAGTCTGTCTATTGTATTCTCTCTTGGTACAGCAACTGCTCTGTATCCCGATCATCTCGGTTGCCCTTCTCTGTACCTGTTCTACTTCCACTGCATCCTTCTTGCAGTGCAGAGACCGGAACTGTATACAATACAAATCCATGTGTGCCCACATCTTGAATGTAGTTTCATAGTTGGTAGGGTCAGAAGGGACCTGAGCAGATCATCAAGTCCGACCCCCTGCCATGGCAGGAAAAAGTGCTGGGGTCAAATGATCCCAGCAAGGTGTTAGTTTAGCCTCCTCTTAAAGACCCCCAAGGTGGGAGCCAGCACCACTTCGCTTGGAAGTTGGTTCCAGATCCTAGCTGCCCTGACAGTGAAGTAGCGCCTCCTGATGTCTAGTCTGAATCTCCCCTCTGCCAGCTTGTGACCTGTTATTTCTAGTCACTCCTGGTAGTGCTTGGGGGAACAGGGACTCCCCCAATGCCTGCTGGTTCCCTCTGACTAGTTTGTAACAGGACACTAGATCCCCCTCAGCCTCCTCTTGTGGAGGCTGAACAGGTTCAGGTCCC